GAGCGAGTACAAAACCAAGTTTTTATTATTACAAAAAAATACATTTTTTAAAAAAAAATGGTTTTATCTTAATACACTGCTTTCCCAGTGCTGTGTGGAAAGGCTGCCCTGGCCCTGTGAGGAGGCGAGGCAGCCCCGGACAGCATCGCCCCAATGACAAAGCTGAGCAAAACACCGAGGAGCCCGTCCAGGGCTCTGAAAACCCCAAATCCCAAACAAGATTTAGAATTAAAACCCCGCAGACACTGCGAGGCAGCGGTGCTTAGAGCGCAGAAGTGGACTGCAGTCGGCCAGCCCTGCTACCACAGGCTCACCACCCAAGTGGCATTAAGAAAACCTAGGAACAGCAAGTTCTGCACCCAGTCCTTCGACTAGAAAATAAATTTGAAGTCAAGAGGAGTCCCAAAAGGCACTGGTCAAATTGAGACTCACCACATTGGGATTACTGGTATCACCAGCACTAATGGTACTGGGCCAAACAACGGGGGTTTCAGCAGCTGTTCCACCATTAGCAAACACTTCCCACAGTTATCTCCACTGGGAGCTACCCCCGCAGACAAGGGTTCTGTTGTCAGAGGGGTTACTTTACGAAATACAAAAACAAACAAGAAAACCATAGACCTGGGTACGACATACGCCAACCCCACTACAGCTACTCCCAAAGTCTTAGCTCAAAATCGAGTTAATTCCTACCACAAAGCTCCACCCGACAGCAACAGCTACACGGCTACAGGCCCTACACGTCCAGCTCTAGGGGAAGCCCTCCTGCCTGCGTCCCTGCAGGTACCTTCTCCCCGATTCCACACAAGGAAGGGGCTGAAGATGCAGGTGCCCCATGGTACCCCCGCAAGGCACGTACAGAATCACTTTGGACCAGGGAATGGAAAGGGAGGCACAGAGGTGATGGGGCTCGAGTAAGACACCAGCGGTACTCGATAAAACCCAGAGCTTGCTTCCAGCCCTGAGCTTTACCTTGCACTCTCCCTTTCCCAGGGTCCGTGGTGTTCCTGACAATACTTTTTGGACAAGAAGTTTTGCAGCATATCCAGGTAAAATTTAACAGAAAAATAAAGGGACAAAAGGAAATTTGAGCAGCTGTTTCACCATGATTGCTGGCGAACCCCAAATAGTGAGAACAGATAGCTACAGAAACTACACCCTAAAAACTACACACAGTTTAGAGTTTCCTTCAAACTACGTAATTCGAAATTCATTTTCTGTCTGACCTCTACGCTGGAAACAGGGAAGTCAGGCAGAAGCGTCTAGAAGCAATGGTGAGAGTCCCACAGGGCTGTGGCAGCCTGGCAGCGTGCTCGGCAGGCAGGGGAACGCTGTCAGCACTGAGCAGTCCCTCAGCGAGGCACTGAGCTCAGGGCCCCGAGAACTACAGAACCTGCTCCTCTTTTGGTCAGAATTCATCCCGTAATCTTGGTGGGTCGTCCATGCCAAAAAACGAAGAGGGTTTTCCATGTACGTCGCGCTCCCTTTTCACAAAGGCAGTAAATGAAGAGACACAGTTCCCAATAAAATGATCAGACTGGCCAAGAATGTACAAATCAACCTGAGGCACTTCTGGCTGCAAGCTTACAACCTTGATCTGCGGGGAAACAGGAAAGCAAATTAATCCAGCCATTTACTATCAAAATACAAATGTCTTGGCATAATATTAGAAATGGGAATACACAACAAAAAGAGTGGCTTCTGTCTTAAGTCGCCTTGTAATTCATTTACAAACAGATAAATATCAAAATATTTTTGAAAAAAATCACTTAGGATAATGCTCTTCAACCTCTAGGAAAGGAAGAGTTCTACAGTGTAATTTTTATTGCTATGAGCAGAATTCACTTTGAGATGCCAACATTTCTCTATAAATAATATTACGCAGCATGCCCGCTGTCCATGGCATCAACAGGCCAGAATCCCATGATCATTTTCCTTAAAGAGCTCCTGCCCGAACGGGTTTCTGACAGACTTACCTTTCCTTGGAAGAACTGCCGTATTTCGGTTGTGTAGGGCTCAGAATCCGTAGCGATATAAACAGATTTAGCTTCCATCTTTTTCACCCAGAGCTTAAGAGCACGCTTGATCTCTTTGAGGTCTGGCAGGCACATGTCCATGGTGAGAGGGACGGCAGCACTTCGGTCGTAGCCCACGCACTGAGGTGAAGCCATGAAGTGCGGCCCGGCCGTCCCATCCTTTAGCATATTGCAAGCATTTTTCTGTCAGAAGAAGAGAAAACATCCCGTTTAAACTGCAACAACGTGAAAGAAAACACAACTGTGTTCCCCCACCTCATCTGTCTGACAGAGGAAACCCATCAACACTGCCAACACGTGGCGTTTGGGGTGCACCCCCGAAGCAGAGCTCCTCTTGGGGCAGCTTCTGCTAGCACAGAGCAACCAGCCTCACCCTGGAACCGTACCCAGTCCGAGCCGATCCTCAGGTGAATCCCGACGTAGGGCCTGACCAGCAGGGAATGAATGTAGGCTTCTCCTTTCTTCACCATTTCATCAGACCACACGATATACTTCTGGAGGGGCCGGTGCTCCTCTAAGACAGGAAACTGGGCTGGAGCTCCAGGTAAGGCGAGTACAGGGTGCTCAGATGCTGAAAATCTATAGGGATTAAAAAAAAACAAAACTAAACTATGAAGAGCGGCACAGGCAGCATCTATCGCTTCAAATTTACCCAAGACAAATCCGAACCGTTTTCCCACGTGAAGAGAGCTTTGAAGGAAAACTCAGGCACTGGCTTTTACCTGGCAACAAACTAATTAGTATTATTTGACAGACAAAAAGAATCTCCTACTCATAGTGATGAGCTGCCACGATATTACTGGCTCAGAAATCAACCAGCCTAACAGAGTTCACGCTTAACAGCGCCCACAGGAAGAACGTGCTCAGTGAGTATTTAATGGAAAAAGCATTCAGATTTTTAACTATATTGCTAACTAACTACTTCAGCCTCTCCCCCAAAATGCAAAGGCTTTACACAGCGACTAGAACAACCGTTTCCATGAGCTGCTCTAAATGCCGGCAGCTGCATGCCAACGCTTTTCATCCTCTCGTTACCTTTGGATCCAATGGTCCTTGTAGGCAGGACTGAAGGAGATTCCTTTGAAGAGCTCAGACTTATCAAAATCCACCTGGAACTGATCCCAGAAGGGACCAAATGGATTTCCATCCTGAAAAGGAAAAAAAAAAGAAACAAAAAACATTTACTCGGTGCACACGCAGAGCCTGAAAGGCAGGCCTAGCAAGATCCCGGGGCGAAAGCTGTGGAGGAAAAGCAAACTGCAGGAGGAAAGCACACTGAATGCAACCGCCAGTTTGTCACGTATCAGCTCTTCAGGAAGGAGAGTGAAACACGTTAAAGAAAGAGTGAAAGCTGGTGAGGGGCTTTTTAGGATGTCGGTTAGTGGTAGGACTAGAGGGAATGGATTAAAGCTAGAGATGGATCGGTTCAGATTGGACATTAGGAAGAAGTTCTTCACCATGAGGGTGGTGAGACAGTGGCACAGGTTGCCCAGAAAGGGGGTGGAAGCCCCATCCCTGGAAGTTTTTAAGGCCAGGCTGGATGGGGCTCTGAGCAGCCTGATCTAGTGGGGAATGTCCCTGTCCATGGCGGGGGTGGGGCTGGAACTAGATGATCTTTAAGGTCCCTTCCAACCCTGACAATTCCATGATTCTATGAAACATTAAGAACAGGTACCTGGAGAACTAATGCAAATGCTGTCTTGGAAGAGCAAGTATACCACAGCTCTCAAACGTGTATTTCAGAGAGGTTGCTTTAACTCCAGTGGACAACTGCACCACAGATAGGACGGGGCAGAGGCCGGCAGGAGATAAGCCCCAGGGCTGCTCTCCCTACAGTCTGAAGCGATAAAATCCACTTACACAAACAATCCTCCTTGAACTAACAAAGAAAAGCGTGAAAGGAAACGCCACACCCAGCGAATCGGGGTGGACGACTCTCAACTTTGCAAATCAATGGCCACCCGAATGGTTCTCTGG